ATGATGCTACAATAATGTTTATTGAAAATAAATATTTTTAATTTAAATTTTTCTATATTTTACAATTGATTAAAACAATAAATTTTTATTTTAATTACGATTAATATACATGCTTTATTTTAATATACAATTAGTATTATCATATACTATCTTTCTAATTTAATAATATTTAAAATTGAAAAAGTTAAAAATAACGAAAATTATTTTAAAATACATGTTGATACTTCATTTATAATAGTAATATATAAATTATAATAAATTTTAAATTATATTTACTATGCTATAATATTACATGATATACAATTATATATATACGATAATATACAATTTAAAAAATTAATATTTATAATTATAATAAAAAATATAATCTTACTAACGTCTATAGAAAATTCTAAAATACACATGTTAGACATTAGTATTTTTATTTTTTTAATTTATATTTTGAATAATAAGAAGATTAATATCATTATGTAAAATTTATTAATAATAAAATTATTATTAAGACTTTAATTTTTTTAATGCTTAAATTTTTTATAAAATATTTTATTCAACAAAGAAGCATATTTACTACTTATTTGAACAATCTGATTCTATTGAAATAAAAAATAATAGCATTTAAAATTAGAAATTAAATCATATAAAAAATAAACTTACTCATTATAATATATTTCTAGATTAAAGTTATAATTAATAATTTTAATATCATCTTTCTAAGAAAACTATGAACAATATATTGCCATGTATTATACATTTCATTACATGCAATGGTTATTCAAAATCGTTGAATAACTATTGATAAATTACTTGAGTAAAGAGTAGTTTAATAAAAATCAGTTAAATTTAAAAAAAATGACTTACTATTTATTTACATACATATTATAAGTTATTATTAATAATATTGTTTTATTTCAGACTGAAAGATATTGATAAAAATAAATCCATTAGATATAGCAATAACTATGATTTCTCTTGAATACATCATATTGCAATAAACCACAAAAACCTTAGTGAAGATTCACATACTTTATTAACTCGTCAAGATAGCAACAATGAAGTGTTTAACTAAGCGGTGCGTTGTTGTCAAGTAGTCAATGACCCATAGCGATGTCAGATAAATCTATGGACTTCGTGCAAGCCAGATAAATGATGTAAAATTCGAGTGATTTTCCAAATTAAAACTGTCGGTGTGGAATTATTTAATAATATAATTAATCATTTTTCAAAATATAAATTTTCAATAAGTAAATCTTTTCAATATTCATATAAATAATTTTTTTAAAAATAATATCATCATATTAGTGTAAAAAGAAGTATAATTTGTTTCGTTTGAAAAAAGTAAAAAGTATGTTTAATATTAATTACAAACAATAATATTTTATTCATATTACCTATTTGAAATAAATGATTGATAAAATAAGATGTAATATATATAATATTATTTTTATAGTGTTGATATAAATCAATAATTAATAAAATAATAATTCTGCGAACAAACATCTAAAAATCATTTTTAAATATTTAATAATTAATTATGACTACCATTAATATCCTAAATAATGATTTCAATTATTAATTTTTATTTTCTTACGAAAATGCTTTTAGTAAGAAAATAAAACTCATTTGATTGAATTATAAAAATATTATGACTACATTCAAAGATAATCCAAGCTAATATTATTCTATACATGGTCAAAAATTTGTTGCTCATCTATATTTGTAAAATCTATTCTAAACGATTTGATTTAAAATAATAGTATACTTATTTTAATATTAAAGCTTCAAAATTAAATTAAATTATATATGAAAATCGTTTCATCGTATATATTATTGTTTTAATTCTAGTAATATTTTTAGCAGTAACAAGATTTTCTATACATATCCAACATGACAATATTTATTTAAAAAATGTTAATCTATTAATAATTGTTAATAAAGAATTTAATATTGTAAAACAATATTTATTTTAAATATATATATATAAGGTTATTGAGTTTATTTTTGGTACAAAATTGAAAAGATGCTATGGACAGCTGTTGAAAAATTACAATCAATGTTTAAAAACAATTTAACGTATAGAAATTTATATTTATATCAATCCGAAACAATAAATTTTTCAAATGGATCTGGAATTCTAGATCATTGTAAAAGTTATATTAAATATATTTGTATAAACAGTAAACTGTAGTAAATAAAAGCGAAAATATTTTTCGTTTAACTTAAAGAATTTTTGTTCAATTTTATTTACTGTATAAATACATAAATTTAATTTTTAATAAAAAAAATTATAATACATTAAATAACTGCTTTCCTTATCAAACTTTTTTCCATTATATTCTCATTCCAAAATTTGTGAAAATAATAAAAAATTCCAATTAAATTACAAATTTGCTTAAATATTTCATTTAGAGTTTTTCTTATTTAAATAACATCTAAGTTAATGATAAAATGTATTTTTAAAGTAAAAATGAAAAAACATTGTATAGTACATATTCAAATTGATTATCTCATCCAATAATATATTATTAATAAAATACAACTATTTAGAAGCACTCATCAATATTTCATCAAATTCAAAAAACAAACGAAGAACGTATAATAATTTTATAATATATTATGATGAGTAAAAGCCTGTTGTTCAACGGCTTGTCTGGTAACGGTAGTCTTTAACTACACGTACGCCCACTGATCATTTGACAGTTTCCACCACCCCATCAGTGTACTCCCACTTTAAAAAAGCATGTATCTTATGTGCATAATTGCTTTCAATAGTTATATATTAAATAAAAATGTATTAAATAAAATATTAAATTAAATCAATTTTTATTAAAATTAAAAATTGATATTAAATTCGAAATAATTCTTACTAAATTCAATCTCATATTCTTACTGAAACTTGTAATAATCATTTATTTAAACTTATATTTTCGTCTCTAACAATTTCTAATGATTTTAAATAAAATAAAATTTCTTCTTAATCTGCTACTGAATGCTAATATCTATATATTAATAATAAGAATAATACATTTATTTTAAATACTTTTAATCGTTACTGAAACAAACGTGATATGATGGTGCTCATATATACTTGTATAAGAAAACAATGCGAATGGCACGAAAAGCACAATTTTTATCTGCTACGCGTGAAAATATTCGCATTCATGAACAAACAGCAATGACTTTCTATACGACTATACCATTAAATACTTATCTGTTTTGGCTCAAATTTTTATTTATAAAAAAGTTGATATCTTTATTACTCTTTTTTATATAACCAATACGAAAAATCTAAAATAAATCGAATGCTTCCAAAAATATTTGCGATTCAATTGAATTTTTATAAAAAATTTCTTCTATATGTCACAAATTCAAAATATTAATGCTTATTTAAATGTATTTTATAAAAATCTTTATTATAAATTATTAATTAATCCCATGTTTAAAAAATATTTATAATAACTTAATAATAAATAATCAAATAATTTTATATAAACATTGTAAAATATTATTCAAAAATAAAAATATTATAGTTTTACATCATTTTTAATTATAAAATTCTTTTCATAGTCTATTGATATTTAAATAATGTAGAAATATGAAAAAGCACTAACTATATTTTTTCAGATATTATAATTGAAAATTAAATATTTACCCAATAGAATCTTCAATTACATTATTACATTAACTTTGGTGTAGTTATATAACCACATTATTATTTCATAAAATACTTCTTATTACTAAATTTTATTAAGTTTTTAAATAAAACAATATTTAATTAGGTTTTAAAATATATTTACTTATACAAAACTTTATTAGCAATATAATTGATATCAAAATACAATATATACATAAATTTACATATATATATATATATATATATATATATATATATATATATATATATATATATTATTGTTTTTTATGTTAAGTAACTGTGAGTAAGTAAATGAATGTTTGAAATCTAAAAATATTAACTTAGCAGAAGAATAATTTGCATAAATTTTTATGTAAGATATAATACTTAAAAATGTATACTTGCATTATTCATAAATTTTCTAATTCTCCAGTAACTTGAATTCAAATAAAAATTATCTTGTAATAATTGAAATATAACAATTTTTATAGAAAAAATAAGAACGTAGCGATGAATAGATGATTAAGATTAAAATACATTATAAAATTTCGTTCGGTGAAGAATTTGATCATAATAATAAAAATTAATATATAACAAATTCAATTTAATTAATACTCTAATATTCTGTTATTATTATTAATATTTATTGAATATAACTAATATTTACAAGAAATTAATCTACTAAAAAATATTAAACAAAAATTAACGATATAAGTATAGCAATTACAACAATAAAATATAAATTGATAAATATTAGTTCAAAATTATTTTCTTAATAAAATAATAATAACATAATCTTTATGATTCATTAAATTTTGAACTAACAATATTAATAACGTAAATAATGTTCAGAATTACACATAAAGTTTTTTCAGACCAAATTAATAATATAATTTCTAATATAGTAACACGATATAAATTATTTAGATTTTAATACATATAAAAATATTGTTCTAAAAATTTTTTTATAATATCCTAATAACTAGTAATCTCATAAAAGCTAATTTTAAAGTAGACCTAACGTACAATTTTTATTGTACAGAAACAGTCTTTTTGAAAATATTATCATAAGTATTTGATTAATATATAAAACTTGCTCCTGTTTTAAGAAGCATTTTTCTTAATAAATTATTTGTTGTTTATTAAATATATATGTATACTTATATTCTTTATATATAACAACTAATTTCAATTTTATTTTTATTCACAGAAAATGTGCCTGATATAGCAATAGAATCCTTTCAAATTAACTTTCTTTCTGACAATACAAAAGTTTCTTGAGAATTCATTCTTATTGCGATAAGATGGTTTTCTTTTAAAAGTCACAATTATATAAAACAAAAAATAAGGATAAAAGATAAAAACTTACTTGCTGAAAGACTTGCTGCGGCGCTAAGTTGATGCTGGGCGGGCGTCGGGGCACCGCCTCCACTGTTCGGTTGCCTCCGTCCCGTGCTTGTAACCGCAGCCGTAGCCGCCACCGCATATTGTGAAGTGAGTGCCGTCTCTCCCGTCGAGGCATATGTTGGCCACGATGTAATGTCAGATGTAGCAGCACTAGCCTGTTGCGATGTATAGGGTGGTGAGTATCGGGGAAACCGTGTACTGAAGGGCTGCGAAAAGGCTGGTAAGCTCTGATGAGTAACTGTCGACGACTTGCTCACTCCGTAGTCCTCAGTGTTCATCGGAGGAAGTGCACCACTCAAATTTGGTACTACGATTTTTTAATTTAAGGTTCAGATGAATTGAGAGGATTGATATCTTCGTGTTGCGCCAGAGTCTTCTCATTTTAAAGAGCTTATTATCTTTTTTATTAATTATTTTAAATAAAATTTACTAAAATAATAATCGAAAACGATATCAATATTTACTTAATTAAAATTATCAATATTATTAGATAAATTAATTATATAGCTCATTATATATTTGTATATGTCAAATTATTTTATATATTTAATAATTCTAAATTAATATGACATTTTAATATAACTGTAATTAATATTGGGAAAATAAATTTTTATACATAATTATAATTACCTTGTGTAGTCCATAATTGCTGAGAACTCGAAGTAAGTTCAGCTGGATTCATGTATAGCGGATAACCGGAAGTAGATCCGGCACTACTTCCAATACTGCCTACTCCGGTCATGCGGTACAATGATGAACTATAACAAGTAATAATTACCATATTCTAATTATTATACTTTCGGAGGTAAAACTAATATGCCCATTGACAAAGTCAGGGTAATAATTAAAGCAAATAACATTGTAGATTATAATAAAAGTGATTTTTGCTATTAGAAGCTTTAAATCGATAACTTATAATTTACGATTGACTACTTATACAGCATTGGCTTATCAAAAGATACACTTTGTGAAGTAATATTTACTAAGTAAATACTGTCAATTAAAGTTTATCTTTATTGAACGTGAAATTACCATACATTTAGATAATAATATAATGAATTACTAATCTTCGTAACTTAATTATTTGTTCATAATATATTAGTTGCTTTACATATTAAATAAAATATTAAACGATAACCAAAGTTTATTCTTTAAAAAAAAAAAGTTAAAAAATTAAGTCATTTAAAAATATATGAAATTTAATCAATAAAAGTATTTCTAATCTATAAACAAAATTTAAAATAAATTATCCTAAACGAAATTCTCTCCCTTACTAATTCATGCATATATAAAGAAATTAAAAAATCTATGTAGGTATGATTAATTCTTTAGATTCTACTGGCCAATTTTTGAAAAAAATAATAAACTAATAATTGATTAAAAACATACAAATACGTTTCTAAATGCGGGCATACAGCTTTTTCATTTCACATTTATCCATATTTGAAAAATTGCGACCAATACAAAGTAAAAAGGAGAGTGCAGGAACGTCTCATCCGGGCATCTAACATAACTATTCCATTACCGCAGCAACTATGACGATGTCGAGGACAGTACCAGCGGAGTTACGGTAACGTTGTTGATGGCCATCATGCCAATTACCTGCGACCTTATATTGTGATAAAGGACACAGAAGAACCTACGCGGGCATTTTTACCTGAACTATTGATGACCTTTCTCCACCAAGAACAGAAGCTTCTTAATGCGGGCACCGAAGAATTTAAATAATTACTGATTGAACTGATTATTTGCAGTCTTCTTAGTCATACTTATAAATTATCAATGAAAAAATACAACTTACTTGTTTTTATATTACAAAAAAGCTTTTGTATGATTCATATCAATAGATGACACATATGTATATGGTTTAAGAATATTCGGTAGAATATATTTAATATACCACCAAATCAGTTTTAATTATAAAATTCCTTCTATTAATTTGTTTTTTGTTTATCATATAGTTTTAGATTTAAATTGATTATCCCTATACGATATTATATTTATTTATATGATAAAATTATTTAATTTTAATCCCACTTTAAAATAATAAATAATAATAAATGGAATCAATTTTTGTTTTACTTTTCACATTTAAATATAAAATTGCAATATTATTATTTATTCTATTTTCATTTGGTATTGTACAGTAATGCTAGATTATATAGTATGATTAAAACATAAAATATATATATTTACTTATAATATATAAGTAAAAATAAATAAATAAATAAATAAATAACAGTAAAGACTAAATATATTCTAAAATAAATATAAATTCAAATTTTAATAGTAAATTGTTTGTACAAATAAAAATAAAATTTCAAAAATAGTGCAAAAGTTCAAAAATAGTTTTTCAAAAAAGCACTTTTTTAAACAATTTTTATATAGATATATAAATATGATCTACCAATAAGTATAAAGATACAAAATATTTTGTTATACGATTTCGATTTAAAATAAAAAGAAGACTAAAAATGTTCATTACCTTGTACTCTCCATGACTTATGTGAAATAGTATTCTTAAGGTTCTATAAAAAAAAAAATAAACAAAATTTTTGTATATATAGAGCGCGCACGTAAAACGTTCCGTCGTGTACTTTAACGTATGAGGCAAGAAACTGAAATACTCAAAACGAAATAAATAAAAGTAGAGAAAAAACAAAGGACCAGATGATCAGCTTATCGTGTGGAGTAAGTTTCAATTTACAAAAATTTAAAAATACAAAACGTTTGTGAAGATGTCAATACTGCAACAGCCTTGAATATTTTGAATGGAGACAAGCACGTTTCGCATTACAACTACGTGTCTCCGTGATGTCCACTCGCAATCTATAGCGACAATGATTCGTACACTGTCACTGCACGTGTGTCACCAATACTTTTCAATACTTTTTGCTGATCATTTTTTTTTCTGTTATTCTAGAAAACAAGACTTGAGTATATTTGTTTTCTTACATTTGCTTATTATTTACATTGCTTATTTATTATGAAATATTTATGTAAAATGTTCTATAATTAGTAAAAAAATGTATAGACTTAAATTAATATGATTACAGTAATAAATGATTATACTTATATGTAAAATCAAACATTATAATATATTCAAACATACTTTTTTAATTAAATTACAATATTATTAGTTAGAACATTTATAACTTTCATTAATTATATTATTATTTGTGTTAACATAGAAGTTGATCTAATTAATTAGCTAGATTCGTTTTATTACTTCGATATATCTATAATTTGTTCAAAATAATGCTATTATAAATGTTTAATATATATTTAAGGATTAAAAAGATAATTATTAAGTCCATTCGAAAAATAATTACGAAATTTTTAATAATAGTTACAGTCGAAATAAAATGTATATTGACTTATAATAAAATTATAAGCAATAATAAAATTTATTCCGAATCATAATGAAATTAATAATAAAATCATTTTAAATTATACTTTTTAAATTGAAGCTACTTTTAATCATGATTCATTTTATACTTAAAAAAATAGTTTTCACAAAACGATAAAGAATATAGAATAAATTAAATTCAAACAACGTCTATCAAGAATGTAAAATTGTATAGTGTCATTTCATTATAATGTTTACTTTATATATAATGTTTTAAATATTTTTCATAAATAATAATACTGAACTAAATTCAGTTTAAATATTTCTACCAAACATATAACTTAAATTTTTCATTTTTAATAATATATTTTTATTTAATAAAATTTTTTATATAAACATTTAAAATATAATAAAATATATAATTATAATTATTATTTATTATTATTTATTATTATTAAAAATCCTATCTGTAAAATAATTTTTTTATATTTTAAATATTTATTTTAGATATTTAAATGTAATTTTAATATTATTATACATTTATTTATATATATATATATATATATATAAATGTGTGTGAGTGTGTGTGGGCGCGTATGTGTGTATGTAATTATAAAAATAATTTTAGGTATTCTTTTATACGAAATCGAATATTCTCCAACAAGTTGTATAAATAAACGTTCGTACAAATTTACTTCTAATTTAAAACTAATTTAAAAATAATTAACTTTAATATATTCTTTATAGAATTTTAAATTCCAAAAAATAATTTTTGTATATTTGTCTTGTATTATAAAGTTTGAAAAGTAGTAAAAATATTATCTTGATCAATTTACATTTATAAAATACATATATTCTAAATACAACATTTAAAATATAATTAAAATTTTGTATATAATATGTATAATTATTATATAGGTATTGATATACATAAATAGTATATATATATATATATATATATTAAAAATATAAATAAATATTTTTAAATTTACATATTGAATAATTATATTATATATATTTAACTTAGAAAATAATGACCTAAATAACATAACAATATCGAAATTTAAAAACGTTTTTGACAAAAGTACTTTAGAATCTCAACTCCTTAATAGCGAAACGACGTCCTAATGAATACAATAATAGCTTTTGTACATCAAAATTACTTAAGTAATATGGAATAAGTAGGCAATTGGCTAACATTTACCGTAGAAACGTAAACCTATACTAACTTGCAGTATTCAAGATGCATATAACAACATGCTAGGTGAGTCTGCATAATTGTTAAAATTAGTCAAAGCACTAAAAACTCATTTAGAAAACTGTTGACTTAGCGGTTCTCTCTGTTTTGGACACGAGTATACACAAATTTGTGTTTCCTGTTCTACAGCAGAAGCGATGATCCTAAATCAAGAAAAATAAATGCACATAAAACTATGACATACCTTAACACAAATATTAAAAGATAAAACTTTCCAGTAATATGCAATGAATAAATATTTCAACAAAGATATAAATGTTGATATTAATAAGTATTAAAATAATGATTCAAATAATGTTTTTATTATCATCCTTGTACATATCTTATAGAGTGTTCTTGAAAATAATGAATATAATTAATATTTTAAAAATATTCATAAATCTAGTTGAATAAATAAAATATTACAAAAATCTCTTTATAAAATTAAATGTAGATACTTGTCTCCACTCTGACAATGAAATAAAAAAACAAAATTAAATAAAAAAATTGTGTGTATTAAAGATGAATTATTACAACTATGTTATTAATAAATTTATAATTTCATTCAACAAATATAGTGTAGAAAATAGTATTAAATGTAATTAAAAATTGGTCTATAATGATTAGCTTTAATTGCGATTTGATTGATTTGATTTAATTGATTTGATTGCGATCGAAATAAAGGAAATCATGAGTGGAAATGATTATATGACTTAATTCTCGCATAATAACATATTAGGTATATCGTAGACATATGTGCCACGCACGCACCTACGGGATTCTATTTTTTATGAGAAGTGTAACACCTGCGCGCATGTCGCTTGAAGACATATTTGATTTCCTAAGTGAATAAAAAAATTATTCACTTGTGCAACAATATGTCAGTTTATAAGTGTATAATGTATAGAAAATAAATTATGATTCAATAATATTATTATAAAAATTATGACAATAATATTACAAAAAATTTTACTTATTAACATTTATTAAATTTGATTTTCTTTACTTGCAAGTTACAAATAAACTGGATTATATTAAAGTTTATTTTGTACTAGATAAGTAACTGGTTTAAAATTACTGATCATAAGACATCATTAAAATCTTTACTATGGATAAAAATATATTAAATAAGAAACTCTTGGTAAAACAAATTTTAGATATTTTCTATGTTTAGTTAAAAAAAAAATAAAATTTATTTAATTATAAAACTTCATAGAAAATAATTTTTCTTTTATAAAATACAAAATATTTATAAGAATTAAAAATAGAATTACGCATCTATTAAAATAGATCCAATACGCAGTAGATGCATTATTTCTCATTAAGTAAAATATTTTAAATATTAGTGTATTTAAAAAAAAATAATTCTTACTTAATATATATCTCGTATTGGTTTTTCTACATTCAAATAATTTTGAATATTTATCTATATCTCAAAATATTTTAATCTAATAAATATTATACTAAATAATTAACAATATTGATTAATAAAAAAAATAAAATAAAAATAAATAACTTATATCAGCTTTTATATGATCTATATAATAGCAACGAATAATTAAAAAATGTAATTTACTATTTTTTAAGTTATTATAAGTTAAACTCGAGAAGTTTATAATACGAAATTTATTACGTTCTTAGCAAATGACTGCAGCTACATATAGAAAGAGGACGAATAAAACATGTCTTCAAACAATAAACTATTGAATATCAATTTTACGAGAAATAGTACACATTTAAACAAAGAAAATACATCATTATAAAGGGTCACGTAGTTATATCTATACGTACGCACGTAATTGCAAAGAAAGCTTAATAACGTAGTTCAAGTTGCTTCAGAGAAACTTTCAGTCGTTCCGCTAATAGCTGGAATAAATTCTTATGTCAGGATTACAATGTCAATTTGATGTCCATATACTTTAACAGATCTAACGATATAATTTCTTGTCGCAAAATATTAAACATTAATACCTTTTAATAATTTATGAGTAGAGCATAATTTTGATACTAAATTTAACAAGATTCTACTTAAATTCATATATTATCTTATTAAAACATTTTCACAGATATTTATTTTGAAAAATTACTATTTATATAAATATATTAAAATGTAGAAAAAATAACGATAACAAATTAACTACTAACCATTTTATATACATAAAACACGCGTTAAATTTACTTAATTTTTTTGTTTTTATTCTGAGTATTTACCAAACTTTCTAATGGAGTAGACAATCACATTAATATAGATTATCGTTAGAACTTCTTTTTAAACAGTTACCTAAAACTCTATTATTGCCTAATAAGTAAGAAACTTTGAACACAGTATTACCAATTTATAAAGATAAATGAACTCCTGTGAATCGTAAAAGATTTGTCATCACTGGTATATTTTATTTTTCTTTATACTCCTTATAAATATATGATGCTCTTATTGTATTAAATGGATTCCCTACCTTGAATTTGTTTCCTGTTTTCTTCTTGATTATAATTACGCGCCTTTCGTTTCGAGATACTTTCATACAACCAGGTCTTCACATCAAATGACCGAAAACAGAAAAAAGAAAGAGATAGAAAAAAGAAACAGACTACAAAGAGAAAGATAGAATGTAAGAAACGAAGAGACAACGGAATGCAAAAGTCGCGAAATTCAATATGCATTCGTGAAGAAGCACCGGGGTTATGGCCTCCAACAGTCGATACATGGACGCTAACTATATCGTCTACCATTGTAACGTATCCGAAAAAAAATATAAACGAGGGATACTCACAATTTGCTCTTCTCACGATACTGTTGTCTCACTCTTTTCACACTGAAATAGAAGGAAAGAAGTATGAAAACTCACTAAGATCGAATTTAAATTTATTTACATTTTCAAGGATTATCAAACGTTTTCAACTTGGTTCTTTTTCTCTAATATTTAAAAACTTTGTTATGACTGTCAATACATATCAACCACTTATTTATAAATTGATGATAAATTAAAATTTTGCAATAATTACTTTAATACCGATTTTTATAATATTAAAATATTATAAACTATTTTTATTTACTATATTTCAATAAATAGTTAAAATAATGTTCATTTCATGAATATACGTTATTAACTCATTATTTGGAATTATTGAATATAATCATACATACATTTATTTTAACATTATTTGGAAAATTTATTATTAATAATTATTTAAAATTTATTGAAAATAACATTATTTGAAAATAATTATATTATTTAAATAATTTTCATATGACCATATTAAATATAATTATTGCATATGTATATGTGTGTTCGTGCGTGCACAGGCACATATTTGTAATTAATTATAATTTAAAATTATGTATAATATTTTATTTAAAATCGTGTGCTAGTTTTGAAAAACAATCGCCTCTTACAACTGAATAAATCTGTCAATAAAGTTCAAGAATTACTAAAAAATAAATGATGTAGACCAGAAATTGTGAGTACCTATGCATCATACACAAAGAAGAAACGAATTCATTATTCCTCACAAACTGGGACAGTATAAGATAAAGCCAGAGAGGTAAATATTTGCGACTGGGTCGTTAGATGCATATTCAGTGCATTCGAATATTTTCTTACACTTCCAAATGCAATCCTGTTGAATGATAAACATCATTCTTTCAACAGGGCCATAGATAACAATACAATGTTTACTCACTCAAACTTATCGCGATTATACCCTATAGAATTAGAATTATTTTTCTTGTCGTTTCTCGAATAGGAAGTATAATATAATACATTAGCAAGTATAAAAAATAAAATTAAATTAATATTCAAGAGTTCTATAAAATGAATATTGTTTTAATTTTAATTATATAAATATTTTTAATTTTACAATATTATTAAAATGTGAAAAAAGGGAAAATCAATGAATATTAAAAAAATAATATATATTTGTAAATTACATAAAAATTATTTTAAAAAAATAATAATTTTAAAAGTAATAAAATATACTTGTTTCAAATTAATTAGTTTAATTATTTTCTAGTTAAGTGCCTAATTAAGTATTTACATATTTAAATAAACAATAAATTATCTTTATATAGTTTACAAAATAATATAGTTCTGTACATTACTTACTATTGGTATTTAAAATTATTTAAATAATATTAAATTATTATTAGTAGTAATGAAATATTAATGATATAAATAATAATTACAATTTATTGGTATAAAACGACTAATTTTAACTAAAAAGATGAAAAATTTATAATTTTTGCATAAAAATATAAATAATTATACTAAAACAAAATATTTCAATATTTACGAATCATGTATATAATATTTCAGAATTATCGTTTCATGATTTGTCATCCATCGTACATCGTTATACCATTGTAAATTAGTAATAGCACCGCTATAATTTCAATTTTTTCATTATAGTTGAATAATTATTATATTAAAGAAATATTATTTTAACTAATTTTATTATTAGATGTGATTTAACAAAATTAAGGTTAGTTTATGACTCACTGTATTATTCTTTAATTTTCAAAATATATTTTTATATAAAACCTTAAAAATATTCGAAAATATTTGTAATTTATAAAATATTCGAAATATCAAAGATTTATAGAATATTTACATAAATATGTATTTGAATATTTCCAATTCCTTCATTTAAATATTTGTAATAATGGGTAGTTGTCAGTAGTAATAGAAATATTCTTAATTTACTTGTACATTAGAATAAAACTATTTGAAAACTTAAATTAAAAAAATATTTGTGTATGAAAGAATTATCAAATGCACTATTAATGCCAAATTGTGTCCAGTGAATTAATTTGTTTTTTGTTTTAATGACGGACTTTAAGTTAATTTAAAAAATAGAAGTAAATAAATAAATATTTCATAAACTTACTGCATTTTTAATGTTACTTTTGATAGTTCGTTCAAAATTTCTTATCCAGTCTGGAAAAGTTGATTATCTCCTTATGCACGATAACTGCGGAAATAAGAGGTAGATGTTGCCAACGATTGCGTAATAATTTTGCACACCTCGAGCTACAGAAAGCGAAATATTCTTACAATTATAACGTTAGAGGTGAAGGGTGAAACAAGTAAAGTAGATAAAATGTTGATTAAAAACAAAATGTATATAATTATAGTGTGACCATAGAGTATATATTATATGTTGATGGATGTGTGCGTATGACTGTATATATCATGCATTGATATGCGTGTATGTGCGTGGGTACTGCAGAAGTGAATGCAAGAAAGCGCGCATGTATATATGAATATGTGTATTAAATATGATATGTATATATACAAATATGTATTTTTGTTTTTTTGTATATATGTATAGGAAGTACTTATAAAGATAAAAAAAAATGAGAGACGTTATAAATCTCGTATCCATCACCGAGCGAAAAGAAATAAGAACTATTGCAGGAGAAAATCTGGTCGTAAGAAAAGCATTAAGCTATTGGCACACTAGAAAAAGTCTCAGAAAGAAAAAGAGAGGAGAAAATGATAGAGAGGGGGAGAAAGAGAGTGAGAGAGTTGAGAGCGGCAGGGAGGGAGGGAGAAAGAGACAGACAGACAAAAAGCACTGCCAGATTGAGCTCCAAGAGGTGACCAGGACTTCTCCTTTTGCGTCTGTTCAATTCTTCCCCTCATTACTTGTTCCCTCCTTCATTTTCTTTCCTTTTTTTTCAATTCACCGCAGAATTAAATAGACGTATCCAATACGTTCCCCACTACAAAGCCTTCATTCCCCCTTCTACCAAATAATATTTTCCTTTCTCGTTCATGCACAATGGTATATCCCTACTACTTTGTTTTCAATCATTCAATTTTATTTTCTTTTTTCTATTTTACTTAAAGTTTCTTAGTTACGAGATAACTTTTGTTTTCGACTACTTGCAAATAGATTATTCATAAAATTATTATTTTTTAGTCAATATTTATTTTTTAATAATTGTATTTATCCGTATAAATATTTTTCATATTTATTTACATATACAATACATAGAAATTTAGAAAAAATAAATTACTGTTTTCGTATTAAAATATTTTAATTATTGAATTTTGTATTTTGTAATATAAAAAAAAGTTGTTAAAATCTTAAATGTATGTATGATGCAACCGAAAATTTATTCTTTAACATTATGTTGAAGCCAAATTTTTTTTAGTTACATTCAATAATGATAAAGATAAAAAACTATTTTCTTAAAATAATAACTTAAAATAAAAAATAAAATAAAATTCATTAAAAAAATCTAAATTCGCTTGTTTTCTCATATGTAAATCTTACATATTTTATTTATGATTAACGTTAGATATACTTAAACAAACTATAATTGATTTCTATCTTAACAAGTAACAATTAGCTTTTCAATAAAATAAATTAAACAAATTTAAATACGTCGAGTACTGAAATACGAAACTCATTGGGTTTTTTCATTAGATAAAATCTCAAATATAATAACTAAATATGATCTACGATTGGAGGCATTCGATCTAAGTATGGATGAAATATAAGAGAACCATTAATTATCTTACGTCTATTTAGTATTTTTAAACATTTTATCAAGAAAAATAATATACATTACTTAATAAAACATTTATATGAATACTCGATTTCCAAAACTGAATATAATTGATCAGTATAAAAAAACGTTATTAGATAAAAGTAACTATTCCATAGAAATAAATAATAAAAATATAAAATTAATAATAAATAAATATTTTAAATTATATAAACTTTCGCTTTCAAGTAAATTTCTATGATTATTAATTAATCCTGATTCAATTAATTAATAACTGCTACAAATTTGAAGATAGAAAAAAAATTCTTATCAGACATAATTTGTTAAGATTTATCTAATATGTACACAATTTGTTTTAAATTTTGCAACTTCGCTAAACATATAATTTCATCATAAAAAAACATTTTATGAATTAGAAAAGTTAAGTATAGAGAATTAGTAAATTTATAATAACTCATTCAACGCGGAAAATCGTACATCTTTATGTAAACAATAGGATATTGAAATGCACTCAACATTATGCAAGAATTTCAAAAGAGTTGTGAAACGTAAAATAACTATAATCTATGTGTATTGGAACTAATTAATATATAAAATTATACATAATCGAAAACTTAGTTTCATCTACGAAACTGACTTAAGAAGAGTACGAACAATCGTTGTAAATATCGGCAAACAATTATGGTACACCAGTTTTCCAGGCAAATTTATTATAATATATTCATTCACATATTACTTTTTGATTTCAATAATATATTTATAAATATATTATTTATTTATTCTCAATTTGATTATAAAAAAAAACAAAATAATAAGTTCAAAATGACATCGTAAATAATATAAAGAATAGGTAAGAGAAAAATAATAAAGACTTTTTTTATTTAATGATATCAAAATCACATTATTTCTTTAATTAAAAATTGTTCAATGAAACATAAAATAAAAATTGTCATAAAATGAAAAAATGTATGGAAGTTTATTAAATGAATAATTACATTCCAAATTTTACCAAAATATTCGGTTATACATAAACATATAAAAATCATTTATCTTACCTATAGAAATTACTTCTGTTCCAATTAATCATATGTAATACTTAGAAAATGAAATATGGAATCTTGACAATATATTTATTTTTATTCCAATCTTACTTCCAAATATATAGAAAACCAAAACATATAATTAAAATTCAATAATGTGTATACTAAAAAAAAATAATTAATTACATAAAATTTCCTTTCAAGTGTTATGTATTTTCTCATCATTGCAATATAAAATCCGTAAAAGTTTTCAATTATAATTGAGTGATCTTATATTTTCAATATTCTTTATTAATATTTTAAAATTTGAGTATGTGTAGATAGGAATAATTTAATGTAGTATAAGTACATAAAAAATATGAAGTAATAAGAAGATATAAGTAAGTACTGTTTAAAGAAACATTGATATTTTCTATTTGATTACGTATATAACTATAGGTTATATAAGAGTATCAAAGCAGGACTAAAAATAAATCGATTATAAACATGAAATACAGTTGTATTTTTGTATAACGTTATTTTTATATACCTTTGAAATCGTGCAGTTTTATATTTTTATATTAGATTTAAAAATTGATTTAGAAAAAGTTTTCAATTTATTTGCTTTATTATACTTACACATAATTTATTTTTAAAAGATAATATGTAATGCAATATTTTCATTACAAGTTAAACAATTGATGTAGTTAAAAGTATATTCATTCAAAATTATATATAATAATTATCAAAAGCTTACAAAAATATATAAAAATTTATATCTGTATCTAATAAAATATAAGGAAAGTTAATTTTTTTAATACTTTTCTTTAGAACGCCATGAATTATACTTTTCAATAGTATTAATTTTCTATTTTTCAAACAACATTTAAAAATATTTAAGGTCTAAGCCAAATAATACAGATTAAACTCTATAAAATAGAATCTTTTAATTATGTTAAAAAAAAATTATGAAATAATTGTTTAATATTATTAAAACCCTCTTTATATATTACTATTCCTATAATATTTTTAGTATATTAATAAAGATTTTTTATTGCCATAGATTAATTTTATTATACTTTTTATTCCAATTATAATTTATAATCATAACAAAATACAACTATATTACTAAATACATAACTGTCATATATTAAGTCTTATTAGAATTTTTATATATTTAGATTAGAAATTATAGTATTTTTATCTGATAAAAAATATATGAATATGCAAGTAAATTTTATTGTATTCTAATTAACAACTAATATTTTTAAGAATTTAATTATTTTTATCGATATATTAAAATATTAATTAAATAAATGTAATACTCTTAAAATATCAAGCTTTAATCTATATTTTTAATATATCTTAATTAAAAGTAAATATATATAAGTCTAAATAAATAACTATATCATGATGTTAGAATTAAATTATTTTGTTTTCATACTTTAATAAAATATATGGATCTTTTAATGGTATAATTTAACTATTAACTAAAACTTTTCGTTCCCATTTTCAAAAATTTTTGTTTTGAATTTCAGAAATCTAAACTAGATATATTAATCTTAGGAATAATATAATTAAAATATATGTTCAAAATAATATATATTTATCGATTCATTTTTTATTTATTATGAAAAATATAAAATAAATTTTTAATTTTACATTTAAAAAAATTATTTAATTTCATAATAATTTGTACTATTTTATTTCATCAATATTACATTCATTTACTAACTATTAATCAATATGTTAACTGTAAATATTTTTTCATTAAGTGCTTTATTATTATTATTTATATTACTAAAATCAAAAACATTAACCATAAATGATATATTTTATTAAATAAATTTTAATAAAACTTTGTAAATATAAAAGATAAATTTAAGATGTATCTGTATTCCGTACAATTATCAGAAGCGAATGAAATAGTTGTGGAGCGAATGTTCTCATATTCACCTTTTTTTTTTAATCTAATTCATAAACTTAATTAATTAAAACATTACAATATTTTTACACGTTTAATTAAATTTTCTGATAAAATTTAAAATAATTCTATAATTCATATAATTTCATTTAAATTATTTACTAAGAAATCAGTACATATGATCATTCATTTGTAAAATCTATCACGAGCTTTCAAATAAACAATACATTCGCATTGTTCAAAAAGTACTTAAGAAATCATGCTATCATGCCCTTTAATTTTACTATTTGTTAGTAGATATTTTGCATGTAAGTTAGTAAATATATACCAAAACTATTAACATACTCAATATTTTATAAATACATTAACGTATGATGAAAAAAATGGAAATAATAATGATTCAATCTTCTTAATTATCAAACATAAAATTTTATACTTATCTTTTTAAATCCTTCTAAAGACGAAATTGAATAATAGAAAGGAAAAGGAAATACAAAAATACTTGATCCTATAAATGTTATTCTTTTTTATAAGTATAAATATTAATTGGTTATATTTTTAATTTATTTCGATTATCCCTCAATCTAAAATATTTTTATGATTTTATTTCTAGATATCATTGAAAATAATTTATAACCATACTTTTCATTTAACTCGATATTAATGACGATATTTATTTATTTATTCATTACACTTCGTTAATTAAAGTTTAATCGATTTATTTGTAGCTTGTTAAAATCTAAATCTAACTTAATAATGTCAAAGTAATCGATATAAAAAAGAACGATTGTTAGGCATCAGTTATTTAACATATGATTATAAAATGCTTATTCATTAAAAAATCTTTTATAAATTTATAATTGTGATTAGATTAAAATGCGAAAATTATAATTGTTTAAAAAAATGTTATCTAATTTGCAATTATATCAAGGAATACTTTGATATTTAACAATATCTCTTTAATTAGAATGTATATATTGACACAATTTTTTTCTACCTTTTTGTCATTGAAATTAATTTTGTGAATCAATTTTGAATTACTATTTTTTGTTTTTTGTAAAATCACTTAAGCAGTAATAGTATAATCAATTATACATAGAGAGTCTTATATTTTCTAAAGTAAAAAGAGCTTACGCTTGTCACCTGCATTCGCGTCTGTAAAAATCCCATTCACGAATCTGGTCGTTTGCGTACTCTATCGCTTATCTGTCGTACAACATATACCTTATCGCGTTATTATCGTAAACATACGTCTCGTCTCTCATAACGACTACAAATAATAATAATCTTGTATTCTGTTACTAAATTTATACACATATATGCACGCACGTACGCACATTCAAATACATAATTATATACCTTCAAGTAAAATTCAAAGAATTATCAATTTTATTTTGTGAATTAAAATTTAATTCATTATTCAATATAATTCGTTGGTTAAATTCATTCATAATTTTTGTAATTTTGATTAACTAAATCAATATGAATATGAAATCAATTTGTTATGTTATTTTTTTAATTAAAAAAAATAATAATAAAAGAACTAACCTGGGTCCCGTAGGTGAATGTGAAGTAGTTGAGCTCTGTTCGTGTTCTTGATGATGATGACTCGTACTCTGCTGATGGTGTGCATAAATCGAGTCTATGTAAAGCTGTTCTGACTGCACGCGTTCATCTTGAAGGTGATTGACCGAAACAACAGTAGGCTGCATTGCTGTGAGATGTGTAAAGCTTTGTAGCCTCGGTGGTTCTTGTGCTGGACTATATGTATTAGAAGTATCATTGTGTCTATTA